CGTCGGGGTGCGAACCATCCCTGACAGCCATCTCGCGGGAACGACCATCGTAGCACAAAAGTACCATCCCCCATCAGTTAGACCCCCTCTGCGTTGCCCAGACTCGTCGCCACGGCTGGTCTCGAGATTCTGGATGAAATGGGCCCCAGGTCAGTTCCGTGGTCGCAATCATTACATTTGGTAGCCCATCATGGGAGCCTCGTGTACCCTCGAAATTCCGTCTATGGCATCGATTAGCGTCGATTCGCGTCTGGGAGTCGATGAGACAGCGCCGAGTTAGCGTCCACTAGCTCGATTCGCAAGGGCCGACAAGATGGTATGGGATGTTCCCATGAATTGCCACCGAACATTACACACCACGCCAGTCCTTACCAGGCTTGGTCCACGGGCTCTCTCGAGAGCGCGAAGTTATTCGCGCTTCGCGCTTCGGCTCCGATTCCTCCTCATCCTCCCCTCCTCCCCTGAGAGGCGGCGCGAGAGCGCGAAGCTGTTCGCGCTTCGCGCAGCGCGAAGCGCGAAGTTGGGAGCCCTTGAGGAGGAGGAGGAGGAGGAGGAGGAGGAGGAGGAGAAGGAGGAGGTGAAGGACGAGGGACGAGGAGGAGGAGGAGGAGGACGAGGAGGAGGAGGAGGTGCAGCTGGGAGCCCTTGTGGCCTGGGCCCGCCAGTGGTTTGTATGCCCCCTGGCCGCACCGCGGGTGCGCGCGCCGAGCCCGGGCCCACGAGCGCGGGCCGGGCCGGGATCGGCCGTGGCGTGCGGCCGCAGCGCCCCCCGGGGAGCGCACACGGTCACCGAGGGCGCCCTCGAGGGCGCGAAGTCATTCGCGCTTCGCGGTTCCGCTCCGACTCCTCCTCGTCCTCTTCTCTTCTCCCCGGGGAGGCGGCGCGAGAGCGCGAAATATTATTCGCGCTTCGCGCAGCGCGGAGCGCGAAGCGGGGAGCCCCTGGTCACCAGCCACGCGCAGAGGGGGACGTTCTCTCCAGCACCGTTTGTTTTTTCTGGATCTATATTCGGACTGTTTTTGATTCTTCGTCCAAAATCCGCCTGTAGGAGGACATGCCCCACATGAAACTGCTACCATCAGCAACAACATCTGCGGTCATCGCACCCCTGTGGAGGCAGACCCCCCTGTGTTGATGCTGTTGCACATTTTTCGGCCACGCGCAGAGGGGGGTGGGGGGAGGGGGGAGGGCTTCTTAGAAGCGCCCCTGCTTCTTAGAAGACGCGGGCCCTGTCTGTAGGTGTCAGGCCGGCGCTTGATCGACACAAGTCTGCCAGTGTGGACCCCAAATGGTGAGCTCTTTCGAAGAAAACAAAATGGCACGAACATGCACTTGTGGCGCTCTGCGCGGAACTCTTGGATCCGCGCTGGGCCCCCCTCGGCCAGCGCCTCCGGCGCCGCCCCTGGCGCGCTCCGCACGCCAGGGAGGGGGGTCCAGCGAAGATCCAGGAGATCCGCGCGGAGCGCCACAAGTTTACAGTGGAGACCCTTGTCAAGAAACACCCTGCTTGCCTCCCAGATTCCCTCGGTTTCTTGGGTTTCGATGGTGTTGCGATGGAAAGCGCGACGCGCCCACACCAAACATACATGGACGTCCTGGGGTCTCAGGGTTGGGTTTCTCGTGGAAGGTTTCTTGTGGTCGGATCCCTACTGTACGTTTATGCCGTTTCTTTTTGTCCCAAGTGTGACCCCGAACGGTGGGTATTTGGCCTCTCGGTGTGTAAGCTGTCTGGTGCAGGCTACGGGTCACCAGGTGTGCGTGTTGCAAGCAAGGTGGCGCAATGTAGGTGTGGTGCAAGCTGATCGTACGTGGTGTGAGCAATGTGGTGCAAGCTATGGTATGTAAACACTTTCGGAGCGCTAAGGTGGGGGGCCATGCAAAGAAACACCCTGCTCGCCTCCAGGGTGCCCTGGTTTCTTGGGTGGCAATGGTTTTGCGATGGACAGCGTGGCGTTCCCACACCAAGCATCCATGGACGTCCTGGGGTCTCAGGGTTGGGTCTCTTGTGGAAGGTTTCTTGCGGTTGGACATCACTGTATGTTATGTAAACATTTTCGGAGCGCTACGTGGTGCAAGCCAGTCGGTGTAAGCCTTGAGGTGTAAGGCTAGTGGTGCAAGCTATGCAGCTCAAGCACTGCAGGGCAAGCAGCGCGAGGCGCCCGTGAGGACGTGCACGAGGCTACACCTCGACGCTCCCAGGTCTTGCTTTGAGGCTGATGCGGAGGTGAGGTGAGGAGGTGGTGAAGGACAAGCTCTGCGCACCCGCGCCATTTCCGACAACCTCCCCCTCCTGCCCAGCCCTTGACATTGCGCCCACGGTTCTCGATTCGCCGACGGGTGTCATAGCGGACACACAACCTCCCGAATTGGCCCTCACAAAGGGGAGTTGAGTTCATTGGAATGAGGAGGAGGAGGCGGCGAATGAGCAGGAGGATGAGCAGGAGGATGAGCAGGAGGATGAGCAGGAGGATGAGTAAGAGGATGAGGAATCATTACGAGG